AAGAAAATATTTTACGAGATGTAATGTAGAAATAAAAATTGATATTTGTCTAGAATTTAAATGACCGAGATTTTACTGATACAGAATATTCCTGTAAAAAAAAGGGTATCACAGTGACAGAGAAATACATTTTCAGAACATGCAAACAACTAAGTTCTTCATTGTGACAGTTGAAAGCTGTGATAAGAATCTATTGTGAGCTTCATTTATCACTACAGAGGATACCTCAAAAAAAAACATTAAAATTTCATTACGGTTTTAGGTTATAAATGGCATTTTAAAAGAGGTATAGTTGTTTGCAAAACATAATTCAGGATTATCTATTTGTAAGGGCATCATATTTTCTATTATCTTAAAAAATCCAAGTCAGTTGTCTCCTACAAAAGTGTGAAGTCCATGTTTTCTCCTGTGGCAGCTTTTTATTAAGGTTGTAGCATTAAGAACATTTGCAGATTAGAGAAAAATAAATAAATGATTTACATCATAGCTAATGATAAGCATAGACTCATAGATTTTTCAAGATTAGAAGAGATCTTTAAGGTAACCTAGTCCAATCACAAGAAGTTTGAAGCAACATGGTAAACTCCAAGATTAGTTCAGTACAAGGAGGTTATAACCACAGGTTTCTTTATATCGCTCTTCTTGTGGGACTTACTGATGTCACCCTGTGCGTGTCCACAATAGCTGCTCCGCCCTGCACAATCTTGAGAAGTGCAAAAGGGGAGCGTTACCCTCAAGGTGATATTCTCACACCACATCCAGTTAACATGTGGCTCAGTCTTTTAACACAACCCTGGGAACCAGTGGTCCCAACTGCCTCCTGGACACTTTGAACACAGGACATAACAGTGGGGGGTTGGTAAGGGAGGGAGCGGAGATGTGCATTTCCTGCCTCCAGGGTGGTGTAACCTGCAGACTTCCTGTCGTATGACCACAGGGTCTGCATGTCTATTCACATGTGTTCCGAAAGAAAAAAGTGGGCACCTAGAGCGGGAACAAGCTCAGGCCTTTCCCTTAAATTCTAAGGTGAGGCATAAAAATCTAATAACTATGACAGTAAAAGACAAAGAAAAGGCCTTTAGGAAAGTACTGCCACTGTGCATACCAAAACTTTGGAAAGTAATCAAACACACTTGATACATCTTTTTTAAGGACTATACTTAGACAGGGTCTAAACATAAAGTGTCACCATTTATCCTAGTACATCTTTTCCTATGACTGTGTTAAATTCGACTTATTTTTCTAAATACCTTTTTGATATAAACTTCTGCCTCAAAAGCAAGCATGTAGTTCTAATATCTAAATAAGAAACAAGAGGCAGAACTTTTTCAGGCACAGCCTATGCATGGTTTTCACTCGCTGGGCCAGCAAAGCTCTGTCTACTGTACCATATTCAAGAGAAAATGAGCAGTGTTTTAGCTCAACACGTCCTAATTTAAAAGGAGGGAGTCTGAACCGACAGGGAGAAAAAGTCAGTTGGGGTGAGTGTGCCTAAGATTGCTGACTTTTACTGATCCTGAAGCTCTAGAGTTATTACAGATTTTTTAATGGGGCGGGAAAAAGAGGTCATGAAGGTCCTTATCTACCAAGTATAATAGCAGCAATGCACTCATTCCTCACTTACGTAAACCTAGTACATATCGTAATCCACTCTAGTCACTTAGAAAATAAAAATACCATGATAGAGGTTTAGTTCTGCCTGGTAACAGGAAGAATAATAAATACCCTGTTTACCTGCTCCTTCGGTTTTACTGTTTTTATACAAATACTTTTGGCCAACAGCAGAGATTCGCTATTACTTTTCTGCCAAAAAAAGAAAAAAAAACCAACTTGGTTCTTCATCAGTCAAAACAGTAGTGAAATCACGACCCTGATGACTATAAGAGGGGTGTCCAACAACTGACCCACAACTGGGAATTGATTTTATTTGCACACAGCATACACAGTGTTAACTTACTGTATTCCAAGTGAGCACTGAGGAATGTGGCAATAGTTTGTCCATGTTACTTGTCTCTGAATATACACTCCAATATGAAGAAGCTGAGTAGATTTTTTTTTAATGGGGGAAAAAAGATGTGGTTTAATAAGATGATGACAGCATTGTAATTCAACCAAAACAAGCAAACCAACAAAGTTTTCATTGTCTTATCCCTCATCCTCAAAACGGTAACCATTATGATTTTATCTACTGACTAAAATTTTCAGGTTCTGCTTTTTACAATGAGAACAATAACTTAGTACTATATCTACCCAAATGACATTATGTCACTTCATACGAAACCAGCCAACAAAAAACTGGGCTAAGAAAGTTACATCTTACTGGAAAAAAAAATCACTAATAAGGTTATAGAATCAAGATCCTATCTTGTATCTCATCAATCTCTGTACAGCCATAGCTTCTTAGAAAACCACAAGAGAATGAAATTTAATTAGCTGCTGACTCCGATAGAGTTTTTTTCTTTTTTTTTAATGTGCTCCTAAGCAGCATTTGGACAGGTTGAGGCATTCATTATCAACTTACTGCTTTCCCTCAAGCAAAAAGGTCAAGTATTCAACTTAAGGTGCAATATCAGCAACACTTACCAATTATAAATTCCTGAATGAGGTCAAATGAATGGCAGGCAGAGACATTCTCAGAAATCCATTGAATAATCTTTAAAAAGTCAGACAAAACTCTGTTGGTATTTAAATCTGCTCTCTGCCTCCACTACCAAAGAAGTACAAATATACATGAAGCTTTTGCATTCTATACCTATTTTAGAATTGCCTAAGAATATACTCACTTCTACACTATCTTCAAGATACATAATGCAATTCTGGGTAGGTAAAACAGCATATTATAAGTGAGATCCTTTTCATACATCTTTTAAATAAATCTCCTTGGCTGGGAACCAAATAAACGTTCTTCAACCTAACGTTTGCGCAAGAATAGGTCATGTTATAGCAAAGTACCAGTGGAAAGAGCTGTGCGATCCAGGAAAAAAAGCAAAACAAAACCACTAGGCTTGGAGGCAGCAGAGCTGGGTGTGAATTCCAGCTGGGTCCTCAGTGTGAATACGGACATACCAGTTAACCTTTGTGAGCATCACTGTACTGTCTTCCGAGGAGGGATAATTCTTGCTCTACCATCAACTCTCTCATCTCCATAATCATCCTCACCTGCTGGAGGAATGTTTGCCATCTCAGCACTGACAGATAATATAAGACACACCTAGCTATGGTGCACACTTGCACTTCTGCTCCTACCAGTAAGCTGTTTTATTCAAAACCTGTTTATGCTATTGTACTTATTTTTAAAATTAGGTAATACAATATTACTACAGACAAGTAAAATGTGGATGCAGAGAGTGTCATTGGGTCAGTAAAAGCTGAATGTTTTGGAAAGAGTCAAAGGCATGTCTCTAAAACACTAGAAAACTAGGTTCAGGGGAAACAACTAAAAAAATTGGGTAAAAAAATGCCTGGTATACACAGATTGCTTTGTAAGGGTCTTTAAATTACTATATCCTTAGACATAAAAATTTTTAAAAAGTAACAAGAAGTTAGAGGTAACTCATTACTAGTGCTTTTATGCAAGAAAAATGATGTTGCACTTCAATTAGCAGATGCACGAAGAAAGGCTTGAGTCAAAGCATAGGTGAATAATGTACATTTTAATGTTTTAGGTTAAAATAAAATGTCTAATGTCTCTCTTTTTTTTTTTTTTTTGTAGTTAACCAGCCACTCATTGATCTTAACTACATCTGATAAGGAGATTTCTCTGACTTCACAGGATAGCTGTAAAATAACACAGAAAGTGTGTGGATAAATTTAATAAACTCTAATGTGAAATACAAATGTAAGCTATTTTTATTATAAATGTAATAAATATCTGCCACAGATTTTAGTCCTTTTGATAATTATAGATCAAATACAGACCAGGAAAAAAAGTAGATATTTAAGAAGCGCATTATTTATGGAGCTCTTCATTGAAATGTTACTGACACAGCTAAACATTTATTCCCAATATGGAAAAGGGAGTACCCAAAAGAACAGAAACACCCTGAGTCTGAGACCTGGTAGGGATCCATAAAAAAGCAACACAAAAGACGATGATGTCAGCAGAAAGGCCATACACCTCAATTAATTGTAACTAAATAAAAATAACTCCTGACCATTTTCTTTCTTTTTTTTTTTTTGAGACAGAGTTTCGTTCTTGTTGCCCAGGCTGGAGTGCAATGGCGCGATCTCGGCTCACTGCAACCTCCACCTCCCAGGTTCAAGCAATTCTCCTGCCTCAGCCTCCCAAGTAGCTGGGATTACAGGCATGCACCACCATGCCTGGCTAATTTTGTATTTTTAGTAGAGGCAGGGTTTCTCCATGTTGAGGCTGGTCTCGAACTCCTGACCTCAGGTGATCCGCCCGCCTCAGCCTCCCAAAGTGCTGGGATTACAGGCATGAGCCACTGTGCCCGGTGACCATTTTCAACCACAAAATAAATAGGTTCAGTGTCGTCTATCTGTACATTTTAAAACATGAGCTATCTTCTCACCTGGCGTTCCAGGAACCGCGTGCCTTGACCGCAGTAGAGCGCACAGTGCAACGCGGCCATCTTCTCACAGTCTAAGCGGGTGTTCTGCAGAAGCTGTAATAAAGATGACTGGCTGAGCAGTGCTCTATAGAGCTTTCCAGAACAACAATCCAGTACCAGGGACCCTGACAATGACTGTAAAGGGCAATGAGGTAGCATATCAATCATTTCATTATTTCCTGGCCAAAAAAAAAAAAAAAAAAAAGTAGATCAGCAAACAAAAGAACCTCCTTTCACCCAAACATAGATTATTAAAGTCAAAACAAACTCAAATAGGCCACCTCTACAAGAGAAAAACTATAACCGTACCTGTCAGAAAAAGACTGTGGCAGATCAGGTCTGGATGTTGAACATTAAGTAGGTGGAAGAAATGACCAGGTAAGTAAACAGCCACATAATAGTCTATAGAAGAGAAAGATTTACATCATCTACATGTGGTAAGAGCTGCACAGGTACAGAACGTCACATTATCCCTGCCTTTCTCTGAATATTTCAAAAGGCAAAAGTTTTACCAATTTAATAAGCTATCTAATGACAGTCCTTTTTTTTTTTTTTTTTTTTTTTGAGGCAGAGTCTCGCTGTGTTGCCCAGGCTGGAGTGCAGTGACCGGATCTCGGCTCATTGCAAGTTCCGCCTCCTGGGTTTATGCCATTCTCCTGCCTCAGCCTCCCGAGTAGCTGGGACTATTTTTGTATTTTTTTTTTTAGAGACGGGGTTTCACTGTGTTAGCCAGAATGGTCTTGATCTCCTGACCTCGTGATCCGCCCGTCTCAGCCTCCCAAAGTGCTGGGATTACAGGCTTGAGCCACCACGCCCGGCCTTTTTATTTTTTATTTTTTTTGAGACAGAGTCTCACTCTGTCACCCAGGCTGGAGTTGCGGTGGCGTGATGTCGGCCCACTGCAGCCTCAAACTCCTGGGCTCAAGTGATCCTCCCCACCTCAGCCTCCCAAGTAGCTGGGACTACAGGCCTGTGCCCCCAACACCCCACTAATATTTTCTGTTTTTATAGAGATGGAGTCTCACCATATTGCCCAGGCTGGTCTTGATCCTGGGCTCAAGCAACCCTCCTGCTTCAGCCTCCCAGAGTGCTGGGATTACAGGCATGAGCTACCACGACCAGCCACATTTCTCTTACTAGGTAAACCTCATTTATTTCTACCTTCGGCTAATTTTCTTCAGATATTTAGCCATGGTTATCTTAATTTATACCTGCAGTTTTGTTTCTAAGTGATTTGTGGCTTTATGTGAACCTAAATGATCTCAGAGCAAATTAGAATAAAAAATATCAAGCAACATGAATTATTCCTTAATCTGGTAGGCTGGAAATAGCTTATATTGGGAATTTTCTTCATAATTTCTGCCAGTTTGGGGAAGCTCTAAAATTTTGTTGCCCATGTTTGTCCACTGATCATCATTATCATCATCATCAGCAGCAGGAGCATTTTGTTTAGAAAACCTTTAAATCAATATTCATCAGAACAATCTCTGCAGACACACTGACACTTTGTGAAGTACTAATTTATTTCCTTGCATATCAAGCTGACTAGAATTCACACCTTCGGTCCCTGCACTAGATATTTTTGTACCAAGAACATTTGTACTCAGATGGAGACAAGGTATAAAAAAATAGGTTTCTGGAGAATGGAAGGGTGGAAGTAGCCCTTGCCAATACTTTTTCTAGGATATTAAAAAACAGAAATTCACACAGTAGTAATTTTATATAGATGGAACATTTAGATTATAAGTGAGCCAGCTAGACTCCTTTTCCTGAGAAGTGAAGGAACACATGCTAATCATTTGCATAGAAGGCGTTCTGTGGAAAGGAAAGAGGATATAGAACTCAAACCAGTTGACTTAGAAGTGTCCTTTCAGTCAACGTGGATTAAATGATGCTAAAGAGCCTAGCACGAATGGTGGCAATCATCTTATTATGGCAACACTTTACTAGCAAAAACACAAACAAGAATATAGTGGGACATAATGACAAGGTATCAGCATCAAATGACCTAGTTACCTCCCAGCTGTACCACTTAACTAGTTAATTAGGATGGCACTATATCCGTGGGGAGGTGGCATTTGAAAATATATGACCCTGATTTGGGTTGCCACATCACTGAGGCAGGGAGAGGGAGATTCCTATTTGGCATTTGGTGAGTGGGCTCCAGTGATGGATGTTCAGTCCCTCAATGAGCAGGGAATTATTGTCTCACCAAAAGGGTCAGTAGTATCTGTGGTAGGCTGAATGATGGCTCCTGAAGATATGCACGTGCTAATCCCCAGAACCTATGAATAGGGTAAAAGAGACCTTGCAGATGTGACTAGGATCTCGAGATGGGGAGACTATCCTGGAATATCCAGGTAGACACAGGTAGGCACAAAAATCCTTATGAGATGGAGATTTGACTAGAGACGAGAAGACGACCATACGATGAGGAAAGTAGTTGGAATGAAGTGGCCACAAGCCAAGAAATACTAGCCTCTAGTCAGGGGTGTCCAATCTTTTGACTTCCCTGGGCCACACTGGGGAGAAGAACTGCCTTGGGTCACACATAAAATACACTAATGACAACTGATAAGCTAAAAAAATTTAAAAATTAAAATCTCAAAAAAAAATGTTTTAAGAAAGTTTACAGATCTGTGTTGGGCCACATTCAAGCCATACTGGGTTATGTGCAGCCCATGGACCAAGGGTTGGACAACCTTGCACTAGAGGCTGGAGGGAGGACGCAAGGAACAAATTCTTCCCTGGAGCCTCCAGAAGGCACCAGTCCTGCCCACACTTTGGTTTAGCCCCTTCAAGACTCATTTCGAACTTCCAACTTTACAGAACTTTAAGAGAACATCTGTGGTGTCTGAAACTCTCGAGCCTGTAATCCCAGCACTTTGGGAGGCCGAGACGGGCGAATCACGAGGTCAGGAGATCGAGACCATCCTGGCTAACACGGTGAAACCCCGTCTCTACTAAAAATACAAAAAAAATAAGCCGGGCGAGGTGGCGGGCGCCTGTAGTCCCAGCTGCTCAGGAGGCTGAGGCAGGAGAATTGCGCGAACCCAGGAGGTGGAGCTTGCAGTGAGCGGAGATCCGGCCACTGCACTCCAGCCTGGGCGACAGAGGGAGACTCCGTCTCAAAAAAAAATAAAATAAAAAATAAAAAATAAAAAATTTGTTACAGCAACAATAAACGAATACAGGATATGCTAACTAGCCTGATTTGATCATTCCACAATGTATACAGGTATCAAAACACCACATTGTACTTCATAAATATATACAATTACTATTTGTCAGTTAAAAACAAAATAAGGTAGGGTATTATTTTTATTGGCTGGGCACGGTGGCTCATGCCTGTAATCCCAGCACTTTGAGAGGCTGAGGCAGGTGGATTACTTGAGGTCAGGAGTTCAAGACCAGCCTGGATAGCATGGCAAAACCCCATCTCTAGGAAAAATACAAAAAATTAGCTGGGCATGGCGGCATGTGCCTGTAATCCCAGCTACTCAGGAGGCTGAGGTGGGAGGATAGTTTGAGCCCAGAAGCCAGAGGTTGAAGTGAGCCAAGATCATACCACTGTACTCCAGCCTGGGAAACACAGCAAGATCCTGTCTCAAACAAACAAACAAAAAGTTTGCTAGGAAGATTTGATGAAAGAACTCTGTATCAATTTATTATATTTTATTTGCTGACTTTTCTAATAAAGATCTTATATGGAGAAGAAAAGGTACCACACATAAGCAGAAGCTATATGTACACTCATACGCCACATGTAAAATGGACACTTTAATTCTTATAATTTCAAGAAAATAATTTAATCACCTATATTTAGTTAAAACTTTAATGTTTGAAAACATTTAGACTAAAGTTTTACATTTTAAAAAATATATCAAAAATGCTATAAGATAAAAATCAAATTCTATGAATAAATATGTTTAAATTAAGTACTCTAGGATTGTAACACTGACAACACTAATTATCTTTTCTAGTTTGGGCAGTTATGTTGCATACCATGTGGGTGACTGATGGGATCATTTCACTTCATTTTCTCTCAGTTTATTCTGGATTGCATTAGAGAAAAATACTAAAACAACACCTCTAAACAAAATACTTGATAAAGTTTTAGTTGAAATAAAATGCTAAGAAAACAAAATAACAAAATGTTTAAAGAAACTATTAATAGGCCAGGTGCACTGGCTCACACCTGTAATCCCAGCACTTTGGGAGGCCGAGGCTGGTGGATCACGAGGTCAGGAGTTCAAGACCAGCCTGGCCAAGATGGTGAAACCCTGTCTCTACTAAAAATACAAAATAATTAGCCAGGCATGGTGGCGCACACCTGTAATCCCAGCTACTTGGGAAGCTGAGGCAGAGAATTGCTTGAACCCGGGAGGCAGAGGTTGCAGTGAGCCGAAATCGCGCCACTGCACCCCACCCTGGGCGACAGAACAAGACTCCATCTCAAAAAAAAAAAACTAAGAATAATCTAGGGTCCCTGATAAAAGACACTGAAGTAAGCCTGAGCACAGAGCTCACTCCTTCTGAGCCTCAGTTTCGTTATCTGTAAAATGGGGATAATATCACCAATCAGAATTGTTGTAGGGAACAAGATAACAACTAAAATACTTAACATATAGTACTCATTAAATAAATAGTAGCTCCTTACTTATAAATATATCTTTCTTATATAGAAGTGTTTGGGGTTCATGGAAAATTTCAAAAAGTTATTCTTTAATATTTTCATCAATATTAGCCCATTTTAATAGGGTGACAGTCCAGGGAAATTGCATGTAGTTAGTAACTAAAAATATATTACTCAAAAAAACAATATTGTTGTCATAAAAATTACCTGTAGAGCAGTTTTAAACTGGGCTATGATTTTGTGCCTATAAAACGTGCTTAAGAAGGAAAGACAACATGTGAAAAATAGCCTATTTTTACAAGCTTGTATTTCTGGCCTCTCCACATGCTGAAGACCACAGATTAAATCTTGCCTGCCCTTTGCAAGTCATTCCCAGGGGTGAAAAAAGGAAGGATACCTTTGCCCTCCCAAAGTGCTGTTTTCTTAGTGGAAAGTTTCCCACATCACTCTTGAGATGGGATGCTGATAAAGCATTGCTGATAAGAATCAAGTCCCAGACCCAGGAAACCTTCTATAATATTTATCTCTCTCATCACAGGAAGCAGTAGAACCAGGCTTCCCTAAGGCAATTTCCCACAAATTCAGAGATCATGTTTAAAATTTGCCCATACTGGCCCACTCAGCGTAAGTATCCAACCTCATCAATAGTAGCATTCAAAATAAAAATCACTTTGCTCAGTTTCCTCACATTGCACTCTCCCAAACATGCGTCATGACAGTAGACGGACTGTGGAATAGGGATGGAAAAAGATATCAAAGAATTACATGCTCTAAACCTGAAGCTCCTTTTTTAAAGGAAATGTTCCATATGCCATGTTCCATATGCAAGCAAGTAAAGCATTACTTAGTCTTGTGCTAAACTTTGTGCCCCACATCCCAACTGGCATGGAAAAGCAGCTTTCAGGCGGGAGGTACAACAAACCCTTTCTTTATTTTCTTCATTATACTCAGGTTCCCTTCACCATATTTACTCAGTGAAAACAACTCAAGCTGATCCATAAATCATTAATGGGACTTGGAAGCTTTTCAAGATTAGCAACAGGAAATAGACAATTTCCCAGGGGCCCCTGTCCTCTCTATAATCAAGGGATAATATGATGCATTATTTCTCATGGGCTATTTGGGAACATCTCATACAAGTCATCATTTTTATGCTAACAAATGGCTTTTTAGGCTGCTACCAAAAAACATAAGAAAGCTCACAGCCTAGGTTCTCTAAAAAGGGAAGATACATCCCCCAACCCTTTCAAGCCAAAGGCTAAGGAGTTGAGAGGGAGGGGTGTGTTCCAGAGAAAATCTTCTCTTGTCAGACTTCAAGTGGGTCATTGACTGTCATCACAATCCAAGTCTCAAAGAGGCATGAGAAATGGGATAGTATAGAAGGCTGAGGTATATCATGCCCAGGAAGAAATGTTCAGAGCAGGGGGTGTGATCTCTCCATCACTCACCAAGGTTGAGAAAAGTAATGCCCTTTGTCACGTGTGAGCCAACATTCTCAAGAGAAGTGGTGAAGGTCTTGCTGTGTCCTGCAAAGAGAGAACAAGAAGCCAGAGAATGTTAAACAAAGAACTGGAACTCCATCCAAGGCAGTGACTATGTAACACACTAAATTTTCAGTGACCTGAAACTGGTAAGTAGGCATCTTCAGACTTCTAGATTTCATGGTTCTCCTCATTCTCCAAAACCCAGCACTGAAGGCGGATAATCTGAGGGCAGTCACACTCCAGTAGTTGTTCTAGGCTTATTATAATCTTAGACCATGACAGGTGGATTGTTCAGGGAGGGGAGGATCTGAAGGAATTTACTTAAAGATCCAAGAGATAGAGATGACCACATGGCTCATTGGCCCTCATTCCTCAAGGCTCACTGCCACACACATGCAGTCATTAAGACCCTCTGAGACTTCTCCAAATCACTTACAAATCCCACTTTTAGGTAGGAAGGGAATTAGTCGAGCCAACAACCTCAGTATATTGGCCTTTCCTCTCTACTTTCTAACTCTTAATCTTCAGAAAAGTTTTATTTACTGGCTTTGATCAATAGATTTAACGATTAGAAAAATGCATGAAAATTTTCCACAAAAATCTCAAACTTAAACGACTTAAGTGTGAATAGTATATATGTCTAGTTCTGAAGTTACTTTAGTTTCTCCATTAAGTTCTTAAACTTTTTTACCTTGATCTCTAACCTAAGGAGGCAATATTAGGTCCATCTATAGAATAAGCAGCTCTGGTGTGGCTTGGCATAATTTTTTTAAATATTGGAAAAATTTTCATCTTTAAAAAACTTTAAATACACCCATACTATATACTGCACAAATACTCATTTTAAGGAACTAAACAAGCAAAACAATTACTCCTTAGTTCAAACTAAAAACTATTACAGGGCACACTGTGATCAACTACAGAACCAGGAGAAAACAGGCATTTGACTGCTGCTCCCTAGACTGTTTATCAATATCTTGGGCCATAGATGTGTGCAATGGAATAAATGTATCTTAGATCTAAAACCTGTTGAGGTCTGAGATCATAGATGCTTTTAACTAAAACCCTATGTAACTCTGTAAGTTAAATCTATAGATACTTTCCAATTAGCAATAACTAAAAAGCAAATAAACACACTTTGGGTAAATACCTCCCTCAGGATTGGTCCACAAGCTTAGAAAAATATATAGGCCAGGATAAAAATATACAATATATAAAAATAACTAGTTAACTTGATATTCACCATTGGCAACTTTCTTCAGGAAATATATATCCCGTAAGTATACAGATATAGAATGAACTAATAAAAATTGATTCAATGGTAATCTCAGCCGGGCATGGTAGCTCACACCTATAATTCCCACACTTTGGGAAGCTGAGGCAGGTGGATCGCTGGAGCTCAGAAGTTCAAGACTACCCTGGGCAACACGGTGAAACGCCATCTCTACAAAAAATACACGAATTAGCTAGGCATGATGGAACACGCCTGTAGTCCCAGCTACTTGGTGGGCTGAGGAGGAAGGATCACCTGAGACCATGAGGTTGAAGCTGCAGTGAGCAGTATTCATGCCACCGCATGTGACAAAGGGAGACCCTGTCTCCAAAAAATTACTAATAACACTGTTAAGAGCTATCTAATTTGCTACTATTTGGAAAAAGTTATCATGTAAAAGTAACAAAGGAGACATGAAAAGTACCTTTATGAATGTAAAACACTGAATATGTGATTTGTTCCCAAGAGGCACACTTCGGGCTGTAACATACACACAAACTTCCTAGAAGAAAGTATAGTAGAGTTTAATCTATGTCATAAATAAAGTTTCCTAAACTACTTAAACTTACTTCTATTCCTTTAGATGTCCTGCCTCATCTTACCTCACAGATTATTCCCAAGTCCTAGAAGTGGTCTATTAACAAGTTGCTAAGAAATTTCAAAGCAGTAATTTTGTAGCGCACACTATAAGCAATGTATTGTGGCAGGCTATTGAAGGATAGGAAAATGAACACAGATCTCCTCCTGCATATGAAATCATGGGGTTCTAGACAGTTTCCAAAGCCTCATGAGATTCTCCTAATATGCATGCATTGTTCTTCCTTATCTAGTTTGTCACCTTCTAATTATTACTAACAGCTATGAACACCAGTTTATCAAAAACTGTGTTCATTTCACAGAAAGTTTCCAGTCTCTCGTTTATCTTGATTGAAAGGAAAAGTGTGATCTATCTTATGGGTCAGTGAAAACAAATGTGGCATATGAGTCCATATCCATCCATAATTGAGTCACTGAAGGCATTGGCCCAAGGCCAAAGGAGAGCTCTTAGTACAGAACGGCCTTTCCAGGTAAGTCTTGACCCCCTTCACTTACCCCATCACTCCAGAACACCCTCAGCTTTCCCCACCTCTCTCAATGTGTGAAACTGTACATTATCTCTAGCAGCTGCTGCTGTATGGACTAATGTCCATCAGTGACCTACATACAAATGAGGACAATATGCTTAAACACATATGTCTATTCTAATGCATTTATTTGATTAACTGAAATAGGAGATTGACAGGTAGAAAGTAACTCGAAAAGGAGTCAGGAAACCGGAGTTCTAGCCCCAGAGCTAATGTTAACTAGCTGTGTGAACTCAATTGCTACTCTACTTCAGTGGATTTCAGTATTTCCTCTACTTTACTCCATTAGTTTCTTTATCAAAGAATCACGGTAGGAAAAAAGTCAATTTCCTCTAAGAGGGCTATTTAAGGACGTTTATAAGCATTCTGTTATAATATTTGTCAATTGTGACTTTTTAATGACATTTAACACTGCAAAGTATTGTCAGTAGGACATTTTATTGCAATTATCTTAAACACAAAATAGCAAAAAAGAATTACTTCATCAGATAACATGGTAACAATTCTATTAGATGTAAAATGACTGTTACGCTTACTGAGCACACAATAACAACTTTTCTTTACAATTACAGCCAACTCACTGAGAATAAAAGTAATCTATCACTAAAGTATAAACAAAATAATAATTATGAGAGTTACAAAAGTCTCATATACCACTTGGACTGCTTTCATACAGTAAACATTATCAGCAAAAAACTACTGGTTTATCCATTGTTTTATATACTATAATTACAAGGAACATGAAATTGCTTTTAAAAAGACAGACTATAGACTCTCTAGTAATAAATAAAAATTAAAACAAGGCACCATAATTTTCCTTTAGAAGTCATTTTTTTGTTGTTGTTTTTTTTTAGTAACAGGCTTAATTCACTTTATTTTTCTTGTATGAAAACCCTATGTTGTAGCCACAGCTGGAGCCTGGGTCCGCTGCACAGAGACTCCGGTGTGGGTCTTGACAAGGTGGTCAGTGAATTCCTGATAGGGAGACTTGGTAAACACAGTCTGCTTCCAGAGGGCAGGGGTCAGGTAGCTGTAGGTCTTAGAGATGGCATCAAAGGTGGCCTTGGCGAAGTTGCCCAGGGTGGCAGTGCAGCCCCGGGCTGAGGTGTAGCAGTTATCGGTACCAGCCATCATGAGCAGCTTCTTGGGCACAGGCGCTGAGACGATGCCAGTGCCCCTGGGTGCAGGGATGAGGCGCACCAGCACAGAGCCCAGCAGCCTGTCACCTTGCACAGGACGGTGTGGGGCTTGCTGATCTTGTTCCCCCAGTAGCCTCTGCGCACCGAGACAATGGAGAGTTTGGCCAGGATGATGGCCCCACGGATGGCAGTGGCCGCCACCTTGGAGCACTTAACACCCAGGCCGACGTGGCCATTGTAGTCCCCGACAGCAACAAACGCCTTGAACCTGGTGCGCTGGCCAGCACGGGTCTGCTTCTGCACCGGCATAATCTTCAAAACCTCGTCTTTGAGAGAGGCCCCCAAGAAAAAGTCAATGATCTCAGATTCCTTAATGGGCAGGGAGAAGAGGTAGATCTCCTCCAGGGACTTGATCTTCATGTCCTTGACCAAGCGGCCCAGCTTGGTGACGGGCATCCACTCCTTATCCTCGGCCTTGCCTCCGCGAGCTCCGCGGCCTCGGCCCCGGCCCCGTCCACGGCCGCGACCCCGGCCCCAATGCCACTGCCGAAACCTCCACAGAAGCCACCGCGGTTCCCCATTCCAGGGCCACCAGGGCCTCCGGGCCCCCCCGCCCCCGCTGCACCGGCGTCATCTGCCATTTGGTGTTCTCTCGGAGAAGCAGAAGTAGTTTTTTAAATGATAATGAATACTGTCAAGGGAGTATGTGCTTCTTACACAATTCTCAAATAGTAGTGAATGAGTGAACTAATACAATATCTCAGAAAAATTGTTTCACAGAGGGTTAAATATATTCATACCTTGCATTCACCTAGTAGTTCTTTTAGGATTCTATCCTGGGAAATGAACATGACAACATAGATCATAACCTCCACTCTAAGAAATTATCTGCACTCCATCCTTTAGAGAATGAAAGTTGTTTTTTCTCATTTGGAAAAAAAAGTGAGATGTAGAATAAATGTACCTAATTACATATTCTAAGAACCATATCCAGAACTTACAAGCAAATATTTCCAAATTGTTAGGCCATGCTTACTTGCCCCACCCAATCCCAAAGGGAAAAACAGACACAGCAAGGTGAAATGGTATGTACTCAGGCTCTGTGAAGCTATCCAACAGAACTTTGACAATGGAAACGTTATATACCCGTATAGTCCAATATGGTGGCAACTAGCCACGTGTAGTCATTGAACACTCAAAATGTGGATAGTACAACTGATGCACTATTTATTTGAGACGAAGTCTCACTCTGTTGCCCGGGCTAGAGTGCAGTGACACAAATATGGCTCACTGCAGCACTGACCTCCCGGGCTCAAGCAATCCTCCCACCTCAGCCTTCCAAATAGCTGGGACTACAGGCGTGTGTCACCATGCCTGGCTAATTTTTTTTAAGAGATGGAGTCTAGGTTGCCCAGGGTGGTCCTGAACTCCCAGGCTCATGTGATCTTCCTACTGTGGCCTCCCAAAGAGCTGGGATTACAGGATTTTTTTTTAAATTCTATTTTAGATTCAGGGGTACATGTGAAGGTTTGTTATATAGATAAACTCCTATCATAGGGGTTTATTTTTACAGATAATTTCATCACCCAGCTATTAAGCCTGGCACTCAATAGTTATTTTTTCTGCTCCGCTCCCTCCTCCCACCCTCCACCTTCAAGAAGACGCCAGTGTCTGTTGTTCCTGTGTTCATGAGTTCTCATCATTTAGCTCCTACCTGTAAGTAAGAACATGAGGTATTTCATTTTACCGTTCCTGCATTAGTTTGCTAAGGATAACAGCCTCCATCCATCTCTATCCACGTCCCCACAAAAGACATGATCTCATTCTTTTTTATAGCTGCACAGTAATCCATGGTATATATGCACCACATATTCTTTATCCAATCTGTCATTGATGGGCATTTAGGTTGATTCCATGTCTTTGCCATTGTGAAAAACACTGCAGTTAACATTTGCATACATATGTCTTTATGGTAGAATGATTTTTATTCCTCCGGGCATATACCCAGTAGTCAGATTGCTGGGTCCAATGGTAGTTCTGCAGTTAACCTTTGAGGAATCACCATACTGCTTTCCACAATGGCAGAACTAATTCACACTCTCATCAACAGTGTATAAGTCTTCCCTTTTCTCTGCAACCTTGCCAGCATCTGTTTTTTGTTTATTTGTTTTACTTTTTAATAGCCATTCCGACTAGTATGAGATGGTATCTCATTGTAATATGTATTTGCATTTCTCTAATCCTCAGTAATATTTTTTCATATGCTTGCTGGCCACCTGTCTTCTTTTGTAAAGTATCTGTTCATGTCCTTTGCCCACGTTTTAATGGAGTTGTTTTTGTCTTATAAATTTAAGTACCTTGTAGATGCTGGATACTAGGCCTTTGTCAGATGCATAGTTTGCAAATATTTTCTCCCAATTCTGTAGGTCGTTTGGTTTACTCCATCAGTTTCTTTTGCTGTGCAGAAGCTCTTAAGTTTAATTAGATCCCATTTGTCAATTTTTGCTTCTTCTGTGATTACTTTTGATGTCTTTGTTATGAAATATTTGCCCATTCCTATGTCTAGGATGGTATTGCGTAGGTTTTCTTTCAGGATTTTTATGAACTTGGGGTTTTACATTTAACTCTTCAATGGATCTTGATTTGATATTTGTATATGTTGTAAGGAAGGGTTCCAGTTTCAATTTTCTATATATGGCTAGCCAGTTATCCCACCATCATTTATTGAGTAGGGAGTCTTTTCCCCATTGCTTTTGTCAGCTTTGTTGAAGATCAGGTAGTCATAGGGCAGCCTTATTTCTGGTTTCGCTATTCTGTTCTATTGGTCTATATGCCTGTTTTGGTACCAGTATCAAACTGTTTTGGTTACTGTAGCCCTGTAGTATAGTTTGCAGTTGGGTAATGTGATACCTCCAGCTTTGTTCTTTTTGCTTAAGTGTGCCTTGGCTATTCAGGCTTTTTTGGTTCCATATGAATCTTAAGATAGTTTTTTCTAGTTCTGTGAAGACTGTTGTTGGTAGTTTGATAGGAATAGCATTGAATCTGTACATTGCTTTGGGCAGTATGGCCATTTTAATGATATTGATTCTTCCTATCCATGAGCATGTTTTTCCATTTGTAACTTCTGATTTCTTTGAGCAGTATTTTGTAATTCTCATTGTAGACCTCTTTAACTTCCCCTCCCCGGTTAGCTGTATTCCTAGGTATTTTATTCTTTCTGTGGCAATTGTGAATGGAAT